TTGGCCCCTGGAACACTTTCTCAGACAATAACACTTAACCAGTCAACATGATCTACAAATTAAATTATAGGTACATTCATTGGATCTCTTTGCGTTTTTCTGGGTTTTCGATTCTTTTTTGGTCGAACATTATGAAGTTCCTCAATTTGTCGAGGAGGAACTGCAGCTTGCTCGAGATCCACCCTGTCACTTGCGCTCAAGCCACTAAACAGTGAAGAAATTTCAGGACAAGGTGCTGCATCTTCACATGGAGCATTTTCATCCCCATCGGTCATCAACTCAGCTAAACCCTCTGTTACATTTACTGCCTGTGAAAGTACATCTAACTCAGGTGTCCTTGGTTCCACATCACTGGTTGCTGAATCACCTGTAGATAACTTTTCATCTTCCTCCTCGGATGTGTCTCCATCGTAGCTCCACATCGGGCCACGGAAAAGCCTGTCCCATTTGTGGCTAAAGTGGGCAAACATAGTTGTTTGCCACTCAGCATAATGATCAATGGGATGCAAATTTGCTGAATTTTCTTTGGCAAAAAATTCTAGTTTGTGGTGTATTAAACCAAAAGGCAAACGGTCCAATGACATTATCGGATCTGGGCCATCTGACCTCAACTGGCCAATACTTTGCACCAGAAAATAAAGAGCGTTCCCAAGACCAACAGCTTGAAGATTTTCCAACGAACACCCAGCAAGTTTTATGAAGTCTGTCGGAACAAAGTTGCCATCCACACCAATATCATAAAAGAGATACATGCTGAACAAAAAGGAAAGAAATTGCACGCGCTGAAGTTTCAATCCATCACTCATGATTCTAATGAGATGGCCAGTTGCAAGGTCTTGATCTCCAACAGGAGATGGTGACTGGTGAAAAACAGGTGACAGACATTCAGATATATTTCCTTGAGTACTGGCGGACCCCTTCACTGGTGTGGAGCTGATGCTAGAAATGTCTGCAAGCTGCTGGCCTTCAAAATAATCAATATTGAAGAATTCTTCTGCTTCATCAAGTGTTTTGAATTTCGAGCTAAGGTATCTCTGCACTTTGCGTCGACAAGCAGTACCTTTATGGAGCCAAAATAAATAAAAAATAATAGGCATTTAGACACAGAGGATAGTGGAACAGCACTCTTATGGTGTACCAAGATGCACCGACAATTTGAAGTAATGAAATGTAAGTATTACAAAAATATAGACTACATAGTAGCACAAACGTTTAAGAGGCTGTCTCTGTAAGAACCGACCACTGATTTTACTTCGAAAATTCGATTTTTCTCATAAGCCCTTGCCTATTCAATCACTAAAATGAGTTTTATTTCATTAAAAATTCCAATTGAAGTTTTCTAGGATTGATTGAAGTTCGGTCCAATCGACACAAGTTTCATGCCCGCCGAAACTGGAAAAATCGCACATNCACTAAAATGAGTTTTATTTCATTAAAAATTCCAATTGAAGTTTTCTAGGATTGATTGAAGTTCGGTCCAATCGACACAAGTTTCATGCCCGCCGAAACTGGAAAAATCGCACATATTGCCGGCGCTCCAAAAAAAATAATATTCGCTCAAAAGTCTCAATTCTTTTTTTCAACTATAGATATATCATAGCAGTTTCGTTAGCCATGTTGCAATTATAATTCAATGTTGTTCCTTCAACGGTTAAAAGAAGATTTTCTACCCGTTAAATCCAGTTTTGCACCAAACGCGAAAATAGCTCTACTTTGAAGGCACGTTTTAAAAATGTGGCAGCTGTTTGAAACTTCTGAACTACATCATACACCAAATAATTTCATACATACCACTTCTTCGTGGAAGGCCACAATACTTGGAAGTAGCTGTTGCGCATCTCTCCCAGAAATCACTCCTCTTATGCGATGGCCAAACATTTGGAGCATCAGTTTCATGGAAAAGTGCAATAAACTGCACTAAGGCAGAGATCTCTTTCTCCTCCCAGGTTGCATTGTTAGTACTGGAGGAGGCACNTTTCATGGAAAAGTGCAATAAACTGCACTAAGGCAGAGATCTCTTTCTCCTCCCAGGTTGCATTGTTAGTGCTGGAGGAGGCACTTGAACAGGTTTCCCAAAGAGTTGAGTCAGACATTACAATTAAAAATCTCTAACCGAATGTTTTCTGATCATAAATTTCATAAGATTAAAATAAAATGAGTACAAAACTCTTTAGAAGCCTTGTCACTAAACACAAGAGACTTCCTCGGTGTGCCAGCTCGGCGTCTTGCACTCTTCTTTGGTGGCTTGTTTGGCGTGTTGCCAGTTGGAGAGCCCAAAGGCCTTTTGTTTTGTTTTGACATGCCGAATCGGCAAAACCGAAGGAAAACATACAAATTACAGAAAAATAAAATAGCAAAAGGAGACCATAAATAAGTGTATATATCAGATATAAAGAGAAAAAACGATCCATAAAAGACACAAAACTATATTTTATATAGGTAAACCACGAGCAGGGCGCGTATATGTAGGGCGGTGAAACGAGCCGGTCCGAGCAAAAAGGTGTGATGCAGTAGACTGGGGTCTACTAAAACGAGCAGATTCCGCTTACTTACATTTAGATTTCTAAAGAAATTCCACGAAACTCCTTCTATATGAAGAAGGAAGGTTTTTGTTGCATTTTTGTTCTGAGGCAGTGGGAAAAGGTGAGTTTTCCAGGTTGAAAGCAGGACTTCATATTTCGCGTTGTAAGATCTGCTCGCGCCAGTTGTACGCGTAATCTTTTGCATTTCTTCTGACTTACGAATAAACGTTATGCAACTCTTTACTGGTATCGCCGGTTAATTTGTGCGTTTCTCAGAACAATCAGAACAATGCTTAATCATAAGCGAAATCTATTTTCGATCAATTTCTTATTGTTTCTACTTATTTGGCGAGCAGCAGGAAAGTCTGACGCACACAAGTAGCCAATTTGCATAATGTAGCGCGTGCACTTTCAAGTCCCAGTCGGTGTTTCTAATTTGTCAATATAAAATCTTGTCAAAGTATTTTTTTCGCCATCTTTTGTGCTGAGATGATGCGATAATTTTTGCCAACGCTAAAAGGCTACTAAGATCACGGTTTCCTCGACATAGCGAAATTTTATACTGCGAAAATGAAAAAGACAAGGAGTTTTGAGAACTCAAACAACAAAATGAAATTGTTATTC